CATGCAGATCCAGTCCAGACTATATTTTGCCTTCTCCATACTGGTATAGTTCAGTTCATTTCTGTTAAAAGAAAAACACCAGGGTTTATACCCGAATATGCTATGCAAAGATCCTGTACTTGGCAGTTCATTGAGTGAGGCATTAATCTGAAGGCAGGATGGGATGTGGCCATGTTCAAAGAACCACCAGATAGTCTATTCAGTAATTATTAGACAATTTGTATGTGTGTGAGAGTGATTGTGATTTAGCTTTTCACAGAGGACAGTGAGTATGTGCTCTAGTTCATTCTAAGTAGTTCAGGCAGGGAGTATGGATGAAATTTCTCAGGGAGTCAGAAGTTACATTCTCAGGTCCAACTATGACATGTTGACCTGTTTAGCTCTTAGCCAATTTTCTCAGCTGCATTTATGGCCAGAGGATATTCAAATGTGAATGGACATTGTCTCACAGGAATAAAAGGGAAGGAAATTGAAATGAAGGCAGTTTCACTTTTGGCCCTACCAAAGTCAATGTCCTTGGATGTTCCATTTGGGAACAAAATTTTGCATGCAAGTGGCATGTGCCATGGAGTGTACCCTACATGTCACAGATACAAACTTATGACTAAGGTGCCTTGGATGGTATTCAGGAGATGAAAGGCACGTGTTCCCTTCTTCATGACGATACTTGTCATCTTTTTGTGAGGCTTTCTTCTCTTACTCTGCTTAGGGTTGCTGACAGTGGTTGAGAGGCTATGATACTGACAAAATGGTCTATGGGGTGCAGGTCGAGCTGTAGAAATGGAGACTTCTGTGATGCTATGTAACATGTTGCTTATTCCATGCACCTGCAAAAGTCACTGATTTGCTAGTTAAATAGCATAAGAATCATCTAGTTAACAGGTCTGCAAGCAGACACATGTGTGGGAAGACTTATCTCTGATGTTAGTGAAGTGTTTGACCTTAGTTTAGTCTTCAGAAAAGCTCAGTTGTGGTTTTTTTTCACTTAGGCTTTCCATCAACCTGCCTGAGCTTTTTCATTCCTTGTTTTGCATTTTTATTTCACTGGCACAATACTGCTTATCCAGCTCTGCAATACACAGGAAGCTATTGTAAAGTTTGAAGAATGACACTTATATCAGTGTGAGTGAATATATAGCCTCTTCTATTGAACTTTCTGGTATTTTCTGTGCAAGTTCTAGTAAAGCTATTCAGATTCAAGCTGATGTTGCCTAAAATGGTGTCCCACTTGGTATTTATTTGTTGTCAGTGATGGCAAACTGCAGATGTATGGTGTAGACTTACCTTGATCACATGTTACTGCATGGTTGCAGTTGTGTCTCAGTAGCACCATGTGTGTGTCCAGTAACTTTTATGGATGAGAAGTGGAGGAGGCTGATATTTGTGGTGAGTAGAATCCTGTTCCAAGTCAGCTGCAGGTGGGAAGGACACCCTTTCTTGTCACCTGCAGTGCATCTTGTTTCTATTTTGATCTCGTCTATTCTGAGCTAGCCTGAAGACTTGCTTGCCTGCTGTGTCTTTGGAAATAAGATTTTAAAGTGTAGTTTTTGAAAAGTAACTCCATAAAAATGGCTTTGCAGAGTAGTGATTATGCATCTGTTACATCTTTGGCCTGTTCTGTCTGTGTTGCTGTTGTATCGCTGTTTACTCCATTAGTGAGACAAAGGATAGCTTCTTGATGACCTCTGCTAATGACATACTTTGTGGCCTGATGTCACATAAGATGTCTTCTAACTACTACTAGTAAAGACTCTGCTATCAAAGTAGAAATGATACCATGAGCTGGGCATACCTTCACCTTCCTCTCCTGGGAGCTTTTACTTCTGCATTTAGTCTAAACTCATTTCTAATCACAGAAAGGCAAAGGTAACTCTTGCATCCTGTGGTGGGTTGGTCCTGGCTGAGAGGTAAGTCCCCACCGTGTCATTTGCTCACTCTCCTGCGGTGAGATGGGGGAGAGAATTGGAAGGGCAAAGCAAGACAAAAACCCTCATGGGTCAAGATAAAGACAGTTTCGTAAGTGCGGGGAGGAGCAGGGGAAACAAGTGATGCAAAAGCCAGCGCTTACCACTAACGAACTGATGCACAGACAGGCCCCAAGCAGTGACTACTTTGGAAAAAATTCTCTCCCCAGTTCTATTGCTGAGCATGACATGATATGGTATGAAAGACCTCTTGGTCAGTGTGGGTCAGCTGTCCCAAACATGTCCCTTCCCAACTTCTTGCATACCCTCAGCCTCCTCGCTGGGGTGACATAGTGCTTGTAAACACTTAAAATGCTTGATGCTCTGCAAACACGGTTCAAAAAAAACTGGAACATTGGTGTGTTACCAGCACTGTTTTGGTCAATGGTCTAAAACACAGCACCATCCAGGCTGCTATGAGGAAAGTTTGCTCCATTCCAGCCAAACCAGTACACATGCAAAATAGAGCGTATCTCAAACCCCTTGCTATATTGTATGGCTAAGCTTCCCTAAGGTCATCATTCTCCAAAATGCTTTGTATGCACTTAAGCACTGGGAGCTCATGGGTTGAAGTACAGCCTTCTGAAAGCCTCCAGAGTCTATTCTGGAAAAGGCTCAGGTTTTGTGCTTCCCCACGAAGTAGCATCTTACATAGTGGAAGGGGAGGTTGTATAATACATACTGTGACTGTTGTACTCTTTTTAACACAGCTAATTAAAAGTATTTATTATTAATGTTGTCTGTAGGTTCATGCCAGTCTAAGAAAAAGAACTTTTTCTACAAAATTGTCAGCAAATGTAAGCACAGAAGGAAGCTTAATGTTCTGGACACAGGTACTGGTGCATTACTTAGATAAGGTTTTGGGCTACCTTTCTCTCAATTCGTTCTCGGGGAAACGCTTCTAGACAGAGAGGCTACTAAGCTCTCTAGTCTTTGATTGCTTTGATCCCTATTTCCCTGTGTGCTTCAACTCCATTATCTCCTGGCTCCAGTTGCTTATACTTCATTATTCCAGTATGATGCTGTTCTGGTTTTACTTGGCGTCTCCCTAAATTACAGTTTCCCTGCTCCAGGTGCCATGCAGCAGAGCTGACAAAGCAAGGGCAGTTCTGCAGTTGGCCCTCAGTTCTTTATCTTCCACACCTCATAGTTCTTTAGTCCTTTGTTTGCTCTTGTCTCCATCCCTTCAATATGAGAGACCATATTATTTATTCTTTTGCCAGAGTATTTATCCGTGTCCCTATCTCCTTTCCCTGTGATCTCCTGCTGTCTAGAACCTTGCAGACTGCAGCTGATCAGAATGTAAGAGCTTGTTTCTACAGCAGACCTCAGAAATACTAACCTAAACCCAGAAGTTTTTATTTAAGAAGTTCTTCACCAGCTTTCCGTTTGTCTCAGATTGAAGGTGACTTCGGCAGTCTTTTAAGTTGTGTCCTGGGCTTGCTCTGCCCATTATCCTGCTGGTAGCTCTTCAAAGTCTTTTTCATATTACAGTATTGCAGTCCTGCATACCTGCATACTCACAGCTCTGAAGGGCATTTTCAAGTGCACAGCATGTACAGGATCATAGCTGAGCCTGCTTCCCTGGGCCCTTGGGGTTTTTTAATGTTCAGTAATCATGGTGCCCACACTATCCATAGCATGCCCAGGCTGTTCCTTAGCCTTTCCACAATTGAGTTCTCTCCCGTGTTGTCCCTGTTGTATAGAAAAACCTCTCTGGTTCTTCTGCGTATTTAGGTAGCTCCATGAATTTCTTCCTTTTTTTCTTTCTCCCCACCTATCCATATCTATCTCTAAGATAATAAAATTATTATCCAAATCTCCAGCTCCCCCAGCCACCTTTGTCCTTAATATCTTTCCATAAGGCTTGGCCATGTCTTTTCCTCTCCTTCCCGATGCTGTGTTTTCTGTCCTCTGTGGTGCACATGCACTATTTTCCCTCATAGGCTCTGCCAGCTCTGCTGCATTCAGTGGCGCAAATACTTTGAAATCACTTGCTCGGTTTGGTTGTATTTGTACAACAAATATGTTGTGGAAGTCACTTATGAGAAGCAATTATCTTGCTTCCATGCTCATGTGAAAAAGACATCATACATTAACATAGCTTTTATTGGGTGACATTCATATTTTTTTGTTCCTGAATTGTTAATAGACCATATAGACAAATCAATAAGAAAAAATGGGTATTTAAATTCTCCTGTGGGAAAAGGAAGAGAAAGTGTTTAATACATGATAGGGTAAAACATAAAATATTTTAAAATCTGCAGATATAAAATGTGGCTAAATAAAATCACAAAACCTCCATTTGATTAAAAGAAACCAGCCTGTTCTGATAGAAAGCGAAGTGTGCATTATGATCAAAGATTCAAGTCTGGCAAGTGTTGAGTACCCTGGCCTCATTCCAGCACAACACAGAGGCATGTCCTTGGAAGTTAAGCGTGTGAGTAACGTCATCATGTCTAAAGATGTGTCTGTGCATTTGCTGGAGTAGGGCCAGTTTGCCAAGTTCCTCCCAAAGACTGAAGCACAGACATGAGGAACTTCCCAGACTTAACACAGCCCACATAGAAATCATCAAAAGAAAAACAATGGATGATATGTGTATATTGTTGGGGAACTGCATTTCCTCTGAAATACAAAAGGAAAAAAAATCTGGGGTCTTGCCTGCTCTGGAGTGATACTGAAAGCAAAGAGTTGATCAGCAGAGCACAGTGTGGGTATGACCCTGGTAGGCAACGTACAGCCTCGCCATCATGTGCTGCCTATGTAACTTCATCCTTTCATGAGTTCCTAGGCAGCAGGGCCCTAAACTTTTGACTCTACTGTCCCATTTTCTGCAGCATTCAAGCTGGGAATCCCAGCATCTTCATTTCAGTTCAAATATACGAGGATTTAGTGAATCATACACTAAATCGAAATTTCAGCTCCCTTCCGTGGTTAGTCACAAGTCTGTAATGTGTGGGTTTGGTTTTTATGGAGTTAAATTTGCTGGAAGAAAGAGCTTGTTGAATTTCCTTTTAACTAGAGGCACTTGGAAAGGTTGCTGTCAGTAGAGGTCATGGTGGAGTCGTGTTTTGTCATCTTGAAGTATGTGTGCCTGTGTGCCTCTGTGTTTTGAATGAAGGAAAGTGAGTGCAGTAAAGACAAATTTCAGTGTGATTGGATCATGTTGTCTAGGTCTGTCTCTGGTTCTAAGTATCTGAGTGAATTTTGACTCCATGTGACCACACATGGAGTATGGGCAGTGCAAATCACCATATTATGAGTTTGCAGGTGTTTATAGATAGACATACAGCCCAGAAAATACCAGCAGATGTGCCACATTCCCTGCTTCTCCTAGTAGAGAGCACGCAATAATGCAGCTGAATATGTTAAAGAGAGGGTGTCACTGCTTTAGGAAGGTTGACAGAAGTACAGCTGGACCTATCCCTGTTAGGGGAGGTCGAACACCACTTAGCTGAGAGATATATTTTCTGCCACACTGTCAAGGCTTTCTGGTGGGAAGCAACACTTTAAATACCAAGGGGTATGTCATAACCATTGTCTCCTTGCAGCTACATTTAGTGAGGTGTGCTGAGGGTTTGTGTAACCTCTTGCATGGTTTGTGTAACCAGGTACAATGTTGGCCTTTGCAGCATAAGGGGAGAAGAGGAGCTGAATGTATACATGAGTCTCAACAGTAGCTGATGTGTGAAGGACCCCATCTCTAGTGGCTGGTAGAGCTAACTGCCTGCTACTTATCCTCCATCAGCTCTCCCACATGCACATCAGTCCATACAACCTTAGCACATATGTTTGAGGAAGAACAGAAGGTGCAGAAAATTAGAAGAATGACCTTTTTGTTTATGTTTTTGTTCTTCCCCCACTGAGAAAGCCCTATTATGTGGGGCCAGCATCCCAGAGGGATCTAGGAACTCTGTGCCACTGTGCCTTTGGCATCACTCCAGGCTGGAAGAGGGCTTGGTCAGCACAGGCTCATGCAGCAGAGCTTTCCATCCAGGCAGCCATTCCATACACCTGGCTTGACCATCTGCTGCATTGCCAGCTGGTGTCTCTCTGCTTGTTAGTTCCCAGCCCTTGCTGCAGCTCTGTGTGCTGCCTGACCCCACGAGTGGTATTGAGCAACGTCTTGTCAGAAGAGCTGGAATTTCCACCAGGATACAGGTCAGTGTGCTTGGCGTCACTTCCTTAGTGAAGTGGTTCCCCAGGCAGTGGTGGCTTGAAGGCTTGCTAGGCTTCCCCTTTTTAACTTCGTAAAGACCATTAAAGAGTTACAGCCCATCTTTCCTTCTTGATACTAGTGTGCTTAGAGCCACATGCATTCATTCTCCATTAAATGTGGTTAAACGTCTGCAGTAAGCTCCAGTAACAGATAGGCATCATTAAAGAAATTCTTTTAAATCTGCCTGTGTCTTGCTGGGATTCAGTCTGAAAAGCTTGTGTGTGCTGAGTCAGTCCAATTGTCTTCATTTTTCTTGTTCACAGTATGCAGGTCAATAGGACTACATGTGCTCTGCATGCCTTCAGAACACGGTAAACTGTCCATGCTAACTTCTAGCAAAGCTAGCTCAGGAAACCATCTGGCATAGAGTTCTGGATGGTTTTGTCACTGTGGTGTAAGCATGCCAAAAGGCCCACATCTTCATATCGTATGCTCAACTCTGCTTGCAAAAATAGCCCTGTAGTTCCGAGTGTGCTACTGTCATGCAGAAGGCTAACCATGTAAATACCTGTTTGCAGGACTGCAGTGTAGCTGCAGAACCTCATTTCCTTTCTAGGCAGCATTCTACCGAAAATGAGCTGAGCTCTACACGAAGCAGCTCTTGAACACAGGACTGTGTGGAAACAGAAGGGATGTGAGATGGATTAAAGAAATTACCGAAGAAAAATGCAGGAAATTAAACTTGGATTAGCACTGTCCTTTTTGCACAGCAAAACCAAGTCCTGGTATGGAGCATCCGTATAGACATACTTTTTGTAGCAGTAGGGTGCTGTTCCTCCTGAAGGAGGTGCAGGAGGACCCCTGTTAGCACCTAGCGTAGCTTATATGATTGTTGAAGCATGGACTCCTTTCTCCTCTGGAGTTCAGTGCAAAGGCTCATGTGAGTGAAGCCTTTGTGTGGTTTCCTCCAAGGCAGGTTTTATGTCTGCTTGAATAATAATCTATAAAGAAGTCAATTAAGTGATTTCTTATTCCAACATCCACTAAGACTGCTAGAGAAGAAAAACGAAGCCCTTCCCTTCAACACCCACCCTTTACCCACCCCCACCAAAAAAATAAAATCATTCATTGTTCGTCTTTAATCCTTCCTTCAAAACTGTATGGCAGCAATGTGATGGTGAAGTGATAAAGAGCTTACTTTAGAGCTAGAGGAGAAAAAAATAGACTCTCTCAAGTCTTATTTCAAGGAGCGAAAAACCTTAAAACATGGAGAGGGAATATGCTTGCTGCATCCTGAGTTTGTCAGCCACCTTCTGCTATTAGTCAAATACACTGATATGGTATGTGGCTTCTTAGGTCTTTAACAACAATGGCCTCTTTTTATTTTTCCTTTCAGCGTTTTTTCTTCATTTTCATTTCTTGAGCTTTTTGAGACATACAGTATGAGAAAGAAAACAAATATAAAAGGGAAGTGTCTAGTGTATTGACCAATCAAGTTAATTTCTAGCGAACTGACATGGCTTGTAATATACAACACATCTAATTAAAAACATACCAAATCAGGTTTCTTCTTATAGTATGTTGATTTAAATCATGTCTTAATATTTTATTAAATGTATTAAAAAAAAAAAACCCAACCCTGAATGGTATTGCTAATATTAAAGCCATTATAAACTCAATCAAACTAGAATTAAGCAGCACTGTCAAAGCACTATCTAATTAGAGGAAATCCCCAAATCAGAATTAACAAATAGTATTGGACTAGAATTACACCATTACATTAATATATAGTCAACACTTACGAATTCCCAAACAAGAAATCTATAAAGAAAGCAGTCCATTTAATTATGCATTCCAATTAAGATTTTGGTCTCAGTCAGTGCAGTAAGCTTATCTGAACATCTCACTATTAACCCAGTCGAGTTATTTGAAAGTCACATTTGCAGTCATCAGTGCTTCTACTTAATTGGACTGTTAAAGGGCAGATCTTTTCTTGTGATTTCTCTTCCTCTCTTTAGAAGAAACAAGTTTTACAGCATAGCTCTGCTGTGAAAAGGTTAGCAGCCAGAGCTAAACTCTGAGAAAAACTAATTTAAGCTGTGTGCTCTTTTTCTTTTTCTTTTTCTTTTTTTTTTCCAAACTAAAGAGCATGCACAAGTTAAAAAATGTTTTACAAGAGAAGATACAAAGGTGAGTTAAGAACATAAATGAATTAAGGTTTGGAACACTTCCAAATCTTTTTACACATATGTGCTAGATCTGATTGTATTCCTATGCCATAAAACATTTAAAAGTCCCTTCCTACTTAAAATAGCAAAGGGCAACAGCTAACAAGATAGAGTGTGTTACAGCTGTTTGCTTCATCCAGTCCACATCCTTGCACAGTTAACAGTTAAAGAAGCTAGAAAAAGATAGCTGTATCTTTGAATGGAAGCTCATTAAATCTACAAAACAAACAATAAAAAAGCAGTAAAATACACACTAAAATGAAAGAAGGCAGAATCCCTGCAGACTGCTTGGCTGTTGTGCACAGTTTGTACGGTTGGGTGTCCCTGTGTGCCCCAACCAGCCTCAGTGTAGGAGGTTGGTCTTGTTCAGTGTTTAGCCCTTCTGAAAGGGCAGTTGTTTGCACTTGGGCTTGAGTTTTGTGCATGTGATTTTTGCTGGTCCTACCACCCAGAAAGCAAACAAATAGGTCTTATAGACATTCTTAAAACAGAAAGAACAATTGCAAGAAATTGTGGGAAAGAGAAAGCTAACTGTAGACACAGTGACAGCTGTGAAATATGTAAAGAACTGTTGCAAAGAGGTGGTGATGGGTCGTAAAGAAAATAATGAGTTGAAAATGCAGCAGGGAAGATGAGGTGCAGGCATTAGGCAAAAATATATAAACATTCAGGATGGCATTGCACTAGGAAAAAGTACCACAAGGACTTGGTGCAGATGCCATGAGTGCTTCCAATTTCAAAGCAGGTCAGACAGGCATCTGTAAGAAGTTACTTGGGCGTTCCTTTAGCTATGGTTTCTTTCTAATCCTGGCTTGTGATCACAGATGGGGAAGGCCTCATAATACTTCCATTACAAGAGAAAAAAAGATGTCACAGGTTGAATTTATGGACATGTGATACCCTATGGTATCAAGCAGTATGGATTATTAGATCAGTGGAAATTACAAAGGCACTGGAATGGGTTGCCCAAGGAAGTTGTGAATGCTTCATCCCTGGCGGTGTTCAAGACCAGGTGGGACAGAGCCTTGGGAGACATGGTTTAGTGTGAGGTGTCCTTGTCCATGGCAGGGGGGTTGGAACTAGATGATCTTAAGGTCCTTTCCAACCCTAACTATTCTATGATTCTGTGATTCCGTGATTGATGACTATGCACTGATCTCAGACTTTGAAAGCTTAAATTCATTTTGTGATCACTGTCCGACTGATTTCTTCATGAACAAAATTAAAGTGACTGTTTAGTCAGGTGACAATTTGTGATCATGTTCCACTTCAGGGCAGAAGGCTACTTCAAAACGCCAACGCTGGTGCTGCTGAGAAGGATTCAAACTGTTCCTTTCTTGTTCTCTGACTTTATGTAGGCAGTGTTTCCATTGCAGTATTTTATCCTATGCTCTCTTCCTTTTTTTTTTTTTCTAGCTTTCTTGCCCTCAGCTGTGATCCAACTCTGCTTTTGTATTTCCTGCCTTTTGGGTGTTTTTTAAGGTTTGCTGTTCTGTAAAAGGCAGTATTTCCCTCTGCTTAGAGGAGACAATGTAGAGTGACTATGGAGGGAAGAGTAGGGGTTAGTCAGGAACTCCTGAATTCTGCCTGTAAGTCCATCTGTGAGCTAAGATAAGCTTATGTGATGACCATTATTGTTCCTTAAATACATTTTGTCTCCTAGCTACTCGCTGGCATCTTCTGTTGTAGAGTGTTTTATACAGACTGTTTGATCCCCACTCCCACTGAAATGCTGCTGCCCATCACACAGTTTTGTTTGCAAATATGAGAAACTCGAACCTTCTGGGATGCCTTCTAAGAGCAAATATCTGCACCATTTGGATCATATCGTGTCATGGGTTATGCTCTGAGTACCTGTGAGGGAAGATTTCTATGCTTATAGGTGCAAAATGGTAAATGAGCATAGCTAGTAGCTGAACTATTTTATCTGTAAAACTGCATTTTTGTCCTCTTTCAGCCATACTTTCAGAAGACAGAATTTCCAGTGAGTCTGCCTGGAAGAATAAAATTTCTATATCTGCCCTAAACACTCCAGAGCCAGCAATGATGCATGAGCCTTTAGTTGGCAGCCAGAAAAGGAAAGCAAGGAAAACTAAGATCACACATCTTGTCCGAACAGCAGATGGTCAAGTGTCACCAGCAGGAGGGACACTGGGTAAGGAAACTGAAGCTTGAATTTTGTTAAAGCAGAATGGTTGGAGGAGGTTTGGGAATACAAGCAACACATCAGGGAAGTATTTTTCCATTAGTTTGTTTTCAAATACCTGCTTAGAAAGGTCCTTCTTTAAAATAGAAGTATCAGTCGATTGAGAAATCAGTCCATAATTGCCAGCTGCTTTTGTGTGAATGCCCAGATCTGTCTCCTCTTCCTGAGTATTTCTCTTCAAGAACTGAGTGCTGATACAGAAAACAATGGAAAATGATTACCTTTCATCGTATGTTTCCAGTCCAGCAAAGAAATTACACTGCACCTAGTTATAGGATGTAAGAAATGAATTCCATAATACGACAGGCAGTGCCACAGTCCTTGCAGGAGTGCTCTGCAGTTAAGATAATCTTTCAGGACTTGTGTATCTAAAATGTACAAAAGAGCTCTCTGGCCTGACCTAAATGATCAAACTCAGTTGAATGCAAAATCAGTAAACTGCTTTATAAACCTGAGTACCGTGCTTCTGCCAATAGCTTGGGTCAGAAAAGATTGCAGCATGAATCAGATTACACTTGCAAAATCAAAGTACTGAAGGTAAAGATTCTGTTAACACCAGACTAGTTAGGATATTGATGGGCTGTTGTGAATGGAAGAGTTAGATTTGCAAGCTTAACTTTCTTTTATTGCAGAGGAGAAGCTGAAAGAGCTGCCACAAAGTACTCTTCAAAAAACACAAAGTGCAGAAACAGATTGCAACAGTGAATGCTCCAGAAATGCAGAGACAGAAGAAAATCATAGTATTACATCAGATATGCCAGCAGTGTCTGCATTTTTTAGCTTAGCTGCTCTGGCAGAAGTAGCAGCCATGGAAAATGTACACAGGTATGGTTTTCTTTTCCCCTTGTTGTCTAAATGAGTAGAATGTGGCTGCCAGCTTGTTCAGAAAACATGCAAATTTCAGACTGTTTAATTTGGCCTGTGTTTCCTCTTCCACAGCTTGCTTTGAATGTGTGTTTTACACCACGTGCTTAGTGTTAAGTCTTCGCCTAAATGACAATGTAATCTATTTCAGTAGTCGGTAAAATGATCTTCCCTGGTAAGCTTATTTACCAAGTTTTGTGTATAAACAGGTTCATATTCCTTGAGATCCTAATGATTAAGGGTTTCCAATTATCAGATGCTATTTGTCAGATAATGGCAAATTTAAATAGCTGTTGCATGCTGATTTGTAGTTTCCAGCGGCCTGGGACTGTGGAGAGAATTTAATGTAACTTCAGCTGAAGTTTTTATACTGAACATGGCTGAAGGAAGCTAACTTGTTCTTTTTACTCTTGTGCTTTGCAGTGTGGGAGGCAAAGCATCTGCAGAATGGCACAGGGCAAAACAACACTGGGTGGTGGAAAGCCACGTTAACTTGGGTTGGTCCTCTCCGTTACTGAGTAGACCATCTGCACAGATAAGGTGGAGAATGTGCAGGTTACTTAGGACTGTTGGATCAGTTCAGCATGATCAGATCCTGCATGCTAGACCTGTGATGGAAGGGAAACCAATGACAACAAGTCCTCCTTGGATTTTACTTATCCAGTGTTGTTCTTTTATGCTGCTGCTTGTTGGAGATGAATCCCCATTCTTTCGTTCAGTGGAAAGTCAGTGAGGAAGTGCTGGGCCAGTTTGAAACTGTCCCAGCCTCTGCAAATGGCATTTGGCAGGTTGATGCTGCCTACAAAACTCCACAAGGCAGCAGCTGGTGAAACCATTGACAACCTGTTTACTGTGGCCCCAATGGCCAACGCAGTCCTGTGTGTCCAGGCTGCACATCAAACACTGAAAGGTTTTTTAGGTCTGGGACCCTACAATAAACAAAGTCATCTGAACCCAGCCTGCTAGCTCTTCTTTGCAGAAGCTGTTGCCTTGCTTAAGCAACACTGGTTTGGGTGAGAAGTGTTTTCACACACGCTACAGTCAGCCTGGCCGTTCCTGCCAGCATTGCAAAACAAGCGTCTTCAATCAAGACAGCCAAAGTCTGAACTCGTTTCTGTCATCTTCTGTGGTCAGAAGCGACAAAGTGAGACTTGGGGGCGTGCTGTGCCAAGCTCTGCTCTTACTCACACCCTTGTGGTTTCACTGGTTTCCATTAGCACTGACCAGAGTTGCACAAGAGCAGCAGGATTCGCCTCGCTCTGGTTTTCCCTTTGTTCCTTTAAGAGTTTTTATCCTACTCTCATTCATGTTGAAGTGAGCCAGTTTTTTGACATAGCCTTCTGTTGGGTCTTTCTTACTCCCACCTTTTGCCATCTCATCATGCAGCTAGAGCACTGTAGCACCTTCTGTGAGGCCTGAAAACATCAAAGGGGCAAATGTCCAGCAACTGTTGCAAACTCCAGCTTGTCATCACCCCAGGGGGAAATGACAACAGC